AATATGTCTTCGTTGAAGTTAGATTTGTAATTAGCTTGTTGTCTTATTCCTTTAGCCAACGAACGAATTTTATAACACTAACCCATATTTTGTAATAGAGAGATATTTTTACTAAATTTCAGATCTATAAAGTAAATCCTACTGAACCGTTTTTTCAATACTGCGCACAGGGATAAAAACTTTACCCCAAACCTAAATTTTTTCAGGAATCAGTAATTTCAATAGAGTGAGGAAAATCAACAAAATTATTTGGTAAAATGAGAAAACCATACGTTCAGTACTTCATTTGGAAACCCTCCATGAATTGTCCCAAACAACTACATTCTGTTCCCAGTCTCTTCGATTCGATTTTCTTAACCTTTTGCTGTCAGGCATTTCACTTCTGATTGGTGCTATATACTACTTATGTAGACATGAGTAGCATACACCACAAGACTACTTATTGCCAATAGTAATTTCAACCTTTTGAATATATGTGTTTTCGTGTTTAACATTAAACATAACCCGATATTAACTACCTAGTTTACACTTTATCAAGCGTTGATAAAATAAAAAGTATTAGACTGTAGAATAGTTGGGATTATTACTATTTTGTCATGATCTCACTTCGTCGTCATTACTTACCTTTTCCAACTTAAAGTTTCATATTTTTTATTACATTGAGGATAATTCAACAGAATAGCATTGTTAGCAATATTTTACTGTATAAAATAATTCTTAAACTCATTTTGTATTGTTTGTTTGAATCTCCCAATTGATATTTAGGACTGCGATTGATCAGTCTCTCATGGGCATATGTGCATACTGTGCGTATTGCCTTGTTATTTCCTTAAGTCACAAGCATCATCAAACAAAATCGTTGCTGACTAGCAGTGGAATACAAGACTCATGTTTCGTCCTATTTGGGACTCGTCAGCCAGATGTACCTGCATCCCAGAGCTGATGTTCACTCCGAGACTCAAACCTAGGACCGTTCACTTCAAATGTCATCACGTTATCCACTTAGCTACTGAGTCCAGATAGCCACTAGCTTGTGTCATTAAATGAAGTTTAACTTCATTTAATATTGTTTGTCTGAATCTTCCCATTGAAGTTTAGGATGTTTAGGACGAATGTACTAGATGACATTTATTTTGTGATGGCTTATAACAATAAAATAAACGAGATTACTGAAAGTTGATTTCTGGCTGTCATTGAGATGTTTTATTGTCACAAAACAAATCGAATGACATTTTAATAGTCTAGTTCTTAAAAAAACATTTACTGATATATATATATATATATATATATATATATATATATATATATATATATATATATAGTTATCATTGATAACCTTTTTCATTCCAATTCTTTACATTCACTTATGTCAATTGTTTCACTCTAAATCGTGCCTCGATGTAAAATTTTAATACATATTTGGTTGTAAGCAGCTGATGAGAAACTATGAAACACAATGAATTCATATTATTCTGTATTAATATTTGTTCTGGCTTTATTTAAATTTATAAAGGGAACTATTCGCATCAAACAATTAATTACTCTTACCCACATTCGTAGACACTTTTGGCTTAATCGTGTACAAATGTTGTTTTCTATTTTGTTGTTTGTTTGGTTTGTATATAAACCTAGTATCTTTGAAATACATGATTCATATCGCAGAGGCTGAGATTGGTGTTCTGAACTTAACAGGCAGGTTTAGGAAGGAGTAAGCACCGATAAGGATTCTAGACTGCTCGTACGGGTTTTATGAGTCATTGGTCCGGTTGACAAATTATTATTCTCCAATTGATTGTATCATTACTCCATATATTTATAAGGGCACAAGGCCACTGTAGCTGAGAGCTCCATTTTTCTTTACACTACTTCAAGCCCACATAGATTATTTTAGCTTCTGGATAGACCAATTTATTCATTTTTCTCAAGCTATATTTTTAACCTGTGACTTATTCGCTTATTAACTTTGATTGTTTTTGTACGATAGTATGTGTTAATTACGTATCCTATTTATCATGTGTCTGTAACTTATTTTTGTGAGACCATTAATACTGAGTCACGTTTGATTAAAACGGGTTGGCCCACATGTCATTTCTGATTCGTTTCGTTTCTCTGCCTCCTCTTTGCCTCGTTTCCTTGATTATCTGTTCAGATCGCCGATCGCATGAAATATACGTATTCAATATCCATTCTCGTGTTTGACTTGTTTTGATTCTGTTATTAATTGAGGCGAGTTAAGTCGATGATTATATACGAGGATCGGCGGCATGTATATTTCGATAGTAATTAGCAAACAATCTAAATGGAGTCAGATACTGAGCAACTAAACTGTAAATGGTATTGTAATCCAGAAACTTATACTTTCCAATATCTCTCCAGTCGCTGTCTGAAAGTCTAATACAGGTGACACATTTATTTATGACATTGTGCTATGTGGATATAATTCCCTATGTTTTAGTAGCTTCTAGGTCAACTACGTTCACGGTAACGGAGACTTGTAATAGAAATTTTCCTAAAATTCTGAGATTATATTGTCTCTATAAACAAGTCAATAAATCTACTGGTCACTGAGTGGCGTTTGATTCATTTTAATAAGATGAGTTCAGCAAAGAATTCTCTTTTTGGCGAATTCATTTTCAAAGCTATATAATTGCAAATATATTTACTTATTTTCATCCTGAAAAAATAAGTTTATATATTTGCGATTGTACAGCTTTGAAAATAAATTCGTCAAAAAGAGAACTATTTGCTGAACTTATCTTTCTTATTTAATGTCGAAATAGGTGTATTCCGTTCATTCTAATAACTTTATTATTCTTTGTTCACCATTGATTTTATTTGATTATTTTTGTGATGCTATAAATATGCTTCGAAAGATTTTTTTTATTTCTTGAGGAGGATTTGTTTTACCTCGATAGTATTACATTTTCCTTGCAGTAATTTGTAAACCTTCTCACAAGGCAACTGTAATGTCTCGATGATGATTTATAAATATAGGTATATTCTTATTTTTGAATCTGTTATCTTATTTTCTTTGTATGTATGTCATTAGGTCTGTGATATATCTGTATGCATAGTCATTTACTCTTTATACTGTAAAAAAAGAATTATAACTCTGATATGTTTTCTTTCTATTTTAATTGAATCCACTCTAATAAAGAGAACATTGCTTTGAATTCTTGATTAAGCAGAAATTGTTCTTCTCATATCTTAATAATGTTTGCCTAGTTTAATTATTAAGGCATATTTTTGTAAACTTTGTATAGCCTATTTGATTTATGATTGACAACTATAGTTGTTCTAACGATTAAGTAATATCACCACGAAACGTCAACACTTTTCAAGTAAATATATCTTAGATTATATTCATCGAAAAAAGTGCTTTTTTAGAAAAACAAAGCATGTCACCGCTTACAAATATTTATCAAATTTAATCTAAATAAATTAATGATGAGGCGGGATCGTGGATGCGTACTGCTACGGAGTCCCATCCTAGGACGAAACGGCTGTCGAATGCTCCCAGGTTTTTTCATGGTGGTCTAGCTTCAATTGACTCATGAATTCAACTATTAAAATTACTGAAGAACAACTGATAAGTCAGACAGAAATTTATGATCTCATCAAATTTATTAATTTATTCAATAAATATACTCTTCTATCTCAAACTGTGAAAATGTAATTAAAATATGTTGCATAGTGATATAATTAGTATTAACGGACAATAAGTTTAGTTAACTAATTAATGTAAACCCGTTGTATTTACTAGAATTTTCATTTGTTAACACTAAACAGATCATAAATAATATAATTGATGATGAATAAGTATCGTAGTAAAATGTCACAGTATACTGAGTGATAGGAGTTGGTTGACAAAAACTCTGGACCTATATTTCATGGTGGTTCCTGATAATCAGAATAATGTAACTCCATTGTCAATCGGGATGATGCTTCAGCAGAGTTCGAAAGCGTGTCATTCAGACTTATAGTGTATGAATTAGGTTCAAATTCCTCCGTACTCATCAAATCAATTAAGATTGCAGATCATAAGATGTTGATAAATTTAGATTAGTAGCCACATTATAACTTGATTTATAAAATTTTGTCAGCACTTAAAGAAGTAGATAAACATAATGTAAGTCATTACTCATAGATTAGTCAATTTAACACCCCAAAATAATTACTCGGGAGAGAACTAGGTCGACAAAAACTTTCTATTTCTGAATAAATGAAAGCTGACTGAACAGAATGTTGTAGTCCCAAACATTTTTAGAAAATCGTACTGATATGTACATAATCTGTATGGTGGTGTGGCGATTCTTGAATGCCATCGAAGGCATGAAACGATCTAGGTCAGACTACCATTGAAAAGCTGAAAGCTCTGGATGGGGGTTTTGTCCTATTATAGGACTACTCAGTAGTGTGCATCCACAATCCTACATGTAGGAATCATGTCCACGACCTTCGGTGTCGCGTGCGGTTGCTTGACCTCATGAAGACCTCCTGTTTACGTCTGTTTCCACAGCTGTTTACATTCAGTGAAATGTGTCATAATATTTTACAATCTAATGACATTTACCCATACACAAACCGAAAAGGCAGTCACTTTGTCGGATTTCGTGTTTCCCACAGTCTCTGATACAAATCTTGTCTACAAAATTCGGATTGTCAACTTATATACTTCGCTTCTTCTGTTTATATAGTGTGGATTGTAGATATTTCATTATCTAGTGAGTTACACTTAAAATCCAGAACAGCCTTGGTTTAATCCTCGAACTATCTTTTTCAGTAAAACAAAAACATCTATTTTCTAGTTTTCACAGTTTGTTTACTGTGAGCCGGATTGTTTTTCTTTTATATTTGAAAGTGAATCTTTGAACTATTGCTTGTACATTGTCACATACACTTAGCCAAGTGCTGAAACGAATAACTCATCTTCATCGTACATATAAAACATTTTTAGTACATTTCAGCTTATAACAAATTTGTTGCATCAATTTATTTAGCTCTCATGCATGCTGCAGTTTTTGGCAATGTCACTGCTATTATACAACGAATGTATGCACGTCGAACAACTTTTCAATCAAAAGTTCAAGATTTAAAAGAATTCATTGAAGTATATCGAATACCTAAAACACTTAAAAGTAGAATGGAAGATTTCTTCCAGACAACATGGGCAATTAATCGTGGAATTGATGTACCAGAAGTACGTGTTTTGCCTGTTATTATTTAGATTATTTCTAATTCAAAGACTTTATTGCCATAAATTAGTTTAAACAAATATAAAAGGGTTGCACAAGATCATGATTCAATTGAAGTTAAACATTAACACCGCTGGATTCCAGCTCAGTGGTCCAGAATTCGAGCGCCGTGTGGCGTCATGGATGCGTACTGCTGGGAAGTTCCATACTAGGATGGAACGACCGTCCAGTGCTTTCACGTTTTCACTGATGTTCTAGCTTAGATCAACTTATGAGTTTAACTATTAAAATATAGATCAATCATTATTAAATACACTTGGTAAATATTTTTCACCTTCAACTTCATTTAATTTGTTGATGTTGAACTCTATCGGACTAAAAGTTTTGTTCGTTAGGTATATTCATTTCACTGTAGTTTTATCGACACATTTTGTATTATTAGTCCTCCTAATAATTTTATCCAGTAGCACAGATTGTTTATCAAGAAATATTTGTGTCAACATGGTAAGAGCATAAATTAGCTTGGAACACAAAATATAATCAGTGAATCCGCATTCACGTTGACTACTAAAAAATTATTCAATGATTTAGGAATTTACATTAAGTGAGATTCGCTCTTATTGTCCATATAAATTAGTAGGTTAGTATAACTTAATACTACTTAATAAAATGGAAATGTTATGTACGGTGTTCTGGCGATAAAAGAATAAGAATAAATCATAAGCTGTGTATAGTCAAAACAATAGTTTTGGTATATGCATACATTGATAAATGAGTAGGTTTACAGAGTTTTCAATAGCAGTTGTTAGATATCTAACAGTACGTAGTCTGATTTATTTACAGTTATAAATGATTAGCAACGAGTAAGTTAACTCCGTACTTATCTTTGTCTTTAAGAGACATTTAATTATATCTTGTTTATGTTTAATTTGACAAATTGTTTTTTACAGAGACATATAATTATCCAAATTATCAACTATCTTCCGGTCTAATTTATTTAATAGACCGATACTAGATATAAATAAGTATTTTTATTTAATGTACTCCAGTAGTTTGATACATGTAGGGATTAGTAAGTTTTGAATCACAATATATTTTAAGGACTGTTATACTACATAACTGTTGAAACTAAAGTAGGGAGAGCAATATTCCAATCCGATAGTCAATACTTAGAAGTTAACTAATTTACTCCTCAAGCTAGAGCTCTGCAATGAAGTCAAACATGAAATGACAGAGATGATTTAATAGAAAATTTAAATCACTGTGTACATACACAATATTCAACTAAAATAATGTGACCGAATTACGTATCAGATGATGAACAAGTAATCAAGTATAGACATAAATGATTCATAGAAGTTTCGTGGTTAATAATTATTATGAGAGGTTTATAAATACTGTTAGACTTTTATAGTTTACATGATAGAATAATGTTAGTTAACCACGAGTAACTATACAGATGTTTTGTATTAAACTGGGACTTCTAGGTATATTCTAGGTGTATTCTCAAGTCTACTGCCAATCGAAGCCAGTACTTTTAGGTCTTGCTAGGAGCACTCACCGTTTAGGCTACTGGGTTGGTATCGAATGATGTACACTTTTAACTTCAATCAATTCCCAATAATGAGTGAATGTCTCCGATTGTCACTGATGCGTAACGGTTTTACAATCAATATACTCAGAATAATATAGCTCTGGTGGGAAGCCATGACCAGTGGGGTTAGAAATGTAAACCAGTAAATACCGACTCAGTGGTCCAGAATTTAGGCGCCCCCAAACAGAAGTGAAGTTACAGTGCTCGATCTTTAAAATTCTGATGCATAGGCTCTCCCTGGGGGCTCCATGCTAGGACGAAGCATCTGTCCAGCGTTTCTTAGCTTCATGTAATCACCTAACCAAGAACAATTAGTTATGTAAACAGAAACGTCATTACGCTTAGCTGCTATCCCTTGCAATAAACTGGAAAAAATTAACTAAGGCTTTTTCTTAATCACTTTCAACATTGAAAAGTTAGTGTACATTTTCTTCAACGTTACTTATTTATTTTTGTGTATGTAAATATTACCCCAGACTACATTTTATTATTTAAATAGGTGTTGAAAATTTATCCAGAAGAATTACAGGGTGACATTTATTTACATTTAAATCGTGAAGTACTTGGATTGAAAGTATTTGAAAAAGCTAGTCGTGATTGTTTAAAATCTTTAGCCATTAATTTTAAATTAACATTTTGTACACCTGGTGAATATTTAATACATACTGGAGATATTCTACGTCGTTTATATTTTGTATCAAACGGATCATTAGAAGTATTAGAAACAGATGAAGTGGTTGCTTTACTTGGTAAGATAAAACAGATGAAATTTTGATATATTAGATAAATTGCACTTATTGTTACTGATTATGTAATATAATCACAATATTCATTATTTGACAATCGGCAATTTAATGTTCTATCCAGTATATAGTTTGATCAGTATTATTATTTTGATGAAGTTTTTCTCTCTGAGCTGGATGGATTGGTCATGGACCTTTCTTCTACCTGAAGTTTATGCTGATGATATCGTTCCGAAGAACGATGAAAGCTCCACGAACAAACCATCCCGCTCAGAGAATAAAAATCCATGAAAATCATCCACCTCGGCTACAAATCTTACCCACTATCTCAAGATCTACTATCAAGCAGGTATTTTAAAACAAAAATGAGTCGCATGAAAATTAGTTTTGACATCATTGAGGGTTTCAATTAAGTTATAGATTTGGATACTGATTCATATTATATTAACTGATTATATTTTAATCTGGGCGTTTAGGAAAATTCATTAAATTTGATAACAGCTTACGACATGGAATGATCAGCCTTAGAATTATTAAATGAATAGTATAAAGAAGCTGAAAGATTTATGAAATGGAAAGTATCTACAACTAAAAAACTGACAATATCATTCACTTATTAGTTGTAAGGTAAACATTTAGAGCAAGTGGAAATTACATAATGAGGTAAATGAACATGTGAATATTCAAATAAACTGTTAAACAGCAGGACTATAGAATGGCTGCATAACATTTTCGGACTATTTCCCACTACCTCAGTGCTCACGTTATTCAATCCGTACTGATAAGCTATATGCTAAACAGATAACTATGTGTTACATCGATTCTGCTTGAATAACTTCAACACCTCTGAAACTGTGAGATGAAAAAAAACATTCACGGAGATCCATTCTTCAGAAGTTATGAAACGCTCCTTATGATTTGTATGGTTAGTTATCAGCCATAATAAACATACCATTTTAAGTCTAAAGTTAAAAGTCTGTAAGTTAGTCTCATCTTTATTTTTTTATTATCTAGCTGAAATATATTTATGAAATCCATCCATGATTGGAGTGCGCTCCATTAGCGACTAACTGAAGGCTATATGGTTATTTAATTTATCCTAGTTTTATCATAGTTACTAGCCAATACAGATAACAATATAAATACCTAAAACATAGAGCCTTTTTGTTTTTCTCTTTTAGGTAAAAATGATTGGTTTGGTGCATTTTTAGAAACCGATATACCAATAAATGGTACAACTAATAATATATCTTCATCATCGTTCCCAATTATACGTTCTAGATGTGATGTAAAATCATTAACTTATTGCGATCTACACTACATAGATTTAATTACATTAAGCGAAATATTAAATCAACATCCACGTTTTAAAGCTGAATTAAAAAGTTATTTATACGAAGATTTATCATTCAATATACAAGAAGGAGTTGTAAGTGCAAACTATTTGATCATTTTCTGTTATTTGAAAACTATGTTTTCTCACGTATTGACACTATATGAATAATTAAGTTAATTTGTTATAGTGTTGTGAACATGAACACAAGCAAGGATAACCAAATGTATTTTAATGCAACATTACAGAATAAATATGATAGTAAAATTTGAGATTCATACAGCAATACTTCATTTGCAAAATATTCATCAATCGTCTTAGATTTTGTTGTTTCTTCGTTTATATACCAATCGCTCTCCGGTCTCAGTCTCTTCTCTTCGATTTTCTCAACCTACTGCCACCAAGAATTCAGCTTCTGATTGGTGATACATACTACTTATGCTTGTCGAAGGCAATAGCACACACCACAAAAGTACTGGACAGTTTTTAGCAACTTCACAATAGTGAACAATCTTAACTACGTACAGAAGTAAATTCCTATCTATGGGATCACATGCCATCAGTGAGCAAATAACTAGTAGTTTTTCTTTAATTTAATATAATGAATGGATCAATGTCAGGACATCATTGAAAACATGGAAGCAACTGACATCAACACCATCGGATTTTGGCTCAGTGGTCCAAATGTAAAGCGTTTGTGCACGATACCGAAGATCCTGGTTTTGAATCCCGCGTGTGAGATTCCCATAATAGGATGGAACGACAGTCCAGTACTTCCAGCTTTTCTTTGGTGCTCTAAGATTGACCTATTGATTATGTCAATCTAAAGTCAACAATCTCCACAACCCTATACTGATAACCATCTTTAATTAATATAAAAAATGAAGGGAAAATCTCAGCCAATAACTTAAATGAATAGCTCTTGCAGATTACTTTAAGATAAATTTTTTCAATGATATTCAAATGATGTTGGATATTCATTGCATATAATGTTGAAAATTCTCTCTGCAACTTAATAAGTAAATATTTCAGGCGGAAGCGTGAATAAACTGATTTAATTAAAGACAAGTGTTTCGGACTATTGCTTTTCTAAACATAAAACCTTCAATGTTTAGCTCATTTAAAAGTTGATCATTATTTAAAATCGCGATATGAAAACTAGGTTTAGCGTAGACATTTTGAGGTAATTGTTCAGTTTCAGGATAATTTACACAACCGACAGTCCTTAGTATCACAAAACGTCAAAACAATTAATCAAAAACTTTATCACCACACATTCATAACCTAGGTAGGTATGGAACACAGCCTCAAAATTCAAGTGAAACCATCGGAATTCTGGTTCAAAGTTGTGACCGTTAGACTCAAACTTAATTAGTCATAAGACTGGTTACGAAAAGCAATGGGTGATGGCGAAATATGTGAACCAGTGAAGTTAGCCAGGAAACTCACTCGTCATACAGAGTTTTAGTCACGAACTGATGGGTATTCTCATATTAAATTAAACTGATATACGTCGCCCTGCAGTTTTTAGTGACTATTTATGATGTAAACTACTTTTTACAAAAATGTATTTTTATTAGTGAATATCAGTATTAGTTGTAATGATGTTACTTACGTACATTCACAGTTTGAAGATACTATTTAACGATGTTGTGTAGCAAGTAGTTTGAATCAGATTTATTGAGGTTTAATATTTAAAAAAATGACGTACTCAATTATTTAACTCTTACCACTAATTATATGAGAGCAAGAAGAAGCGACAAAAGGTGTAATTTGAATCATGTTTGCAAATTGAATACGTTGTAAAAACACGTTTTATCTATGAAAGTGTAAGAGGGGAAAAAGTGATTTTGTGAACTTTTTATAAATCTATGATTTAGATAAATTGGGATGAATGAATATGGCTTATGTTCCACTGACATGGTGAATGAAAGAAACTTACATTTTGTTCGATAAGATGTATATACTAAAAAGAACTTAGTATTGGTAAACATACACAGGTTCAGCAAAATTTAATATAGAAGCTCTAAGTGATAAGCGTCCTACAAATATGCTTAAAATGACAAACAAATAGGCCAACGAAAAAAAGTATAATAATTTTCCTATAAAAATTATTATCAAAACAAGACGTTTCACTGTTAAATAATAATTCGAATGAAATTCCATGGATTGATATTGCAGTTTTACCATACCGCCATAGTACAACAGAGGAACTCCATAGAATTTTAGAACAACACAGCATTAAAGTATATTAAAAACAACGAGTATACACAAAACCACAGACTTCATCGGATCATACTAAATAGAACTAAATCAACCATATGTGAATCAACGAAAAGTTGGAGGATGCGGGAGGGGTTGATATAGCCTTAGTTCATCACTTTCTGGTGGAAAAGATGAAACTGAAACTCAAGAGGCACTGAACAAGGGGGCGGACAACAAAAGTTTAATACGGCCTACCTTCGTGGTAACGACAGACTCAACTAATTAAAGACAGCCTTCCACGATCTAGTCAATAGAAAGAGAACTACTATGGAGAGCAGCTGAAAAGGGATCAAGGATGCAATCACTTTAACATGTTATGAGGTTCCGGGCCACATTCTCTTCAGCAAGATCTGGGATGAAGAACAAGCACCAACAGTTTGGAAAGAAGGACACCTGATCAAGATGCCAAAGAAAGGCGATCTCAGCAACTGTGATAACTACAGGGGCACCACTCTACATCACCTTCACTACTAGAAAGCATTTGATAGCGTGGATAGGACAAAACTATGGAGGATTTTTCGACACTACGGCGTACCTGAGAAGATAGTCAATATCATAACAAATTTCTATGATGGATTAAACTGCAAAATCGCGCATGGAGGAGAATCGACAGACTTGTTCGAAGTAAATACCGGTGTTAGACACAAACCGAATCACGCTTGACAGGGAAAATTTAGAAGATGTAAAATCCTTTACATATCTGGCTAGCATCATTGATGAACGTGGTGAGTTTGATGCAGATGTGAAAGCGCAATTCAGCAAAGCAAGGGCAGCATATCTACAATTGAAGAACATCTGGAACTCAAAACAACTGTCTATCAACCAACACCAAGGTCAGAATTTTCAATACGAATGTGAAAGCAGTTCTACTGTATGGGGCGGAAACCTGGAGAACTATGAAAGCCATCATCCAGATTTCACAAGTGTTTATTAACAGCTGCCTACGTAGAACTCTTCGGATCCGTTGGCCAGACACTATCAATAACAACCTACTATAGAGAGAACGAACCAGATTCCATCGGAGAAAGAAATCAAGAAGAAGCGCCGGAAGTGGATAGGATACATACACACTGAGGTAAGCACACAACTGCGTCACAAGGCAAGCCCTCATTCAGAGTCTTCGAGGACAAAGGAGAAGAGGAAGACCAAAGAACATATTACATCGAAAAATGGAGACAGACATGAGAAGAATGGACAACAATTGGATAGAACTAGAAAGGAAGGCCCAAGACAGAATGGATTGGAGTATGCTGATCGACTATCTGTGCTCCACTGGGATTAACAGGGGTTAGCAAGAAAGTCCAAAACAACGAACACACTTTGAAATATTTTATTTCGCTTAAAAAACAAACTCTTTTATGTCAACACAGAATTTTGTCTACAAATTAGGATGTGTCGATCGTGATGCCTTTTGTATTGAAGAGTCACCTCGCGAAATCTTGACCTAGATCCAAAGAACATATTAGGTACACAAAGGAACTACCTAATAATCCCGTAGAACCTCATAAATTTCAAAATAAATTTTCAACAGCTGTTCACGCCAATTTCAACAACCACCAAATCAATATACAAACATATCAAAATATTGCAAACATGCTTTCCCAACATCAAAGAAAAGAGAGTATCTGAAGCTTTCCGTATAATGCATGATCCTACTGCTCTCAATAGAAAAGAAGGCCTCACTATCCATCCGACTTGAACTATCTATCCAAGCTACTATGTTTGATATGAATCATATTTGACACTATTATCGTACATACAAATTAAACTCTATCCTTTCTCACCACCAAGGTCACCACATTTTTCACCCTTGACCCGGCGCACATACACACAAATTTACATACATGTCGCATATAAATCACCTTGACTGGGATGACATGACATAGACTTGTTCAAATATGTTTTTGATTGTTCACATCTAATATTCCTACTGCAATTAGTTTCCTTTATGAATTTAAATAAAGCCAGAATGAACATGGATGTAGAATAATATGAATTCATTGTATTTCGTGGTTTCACACTATATCTTACCTCAATGTAAAATTTTTATGCATATTTGGTTGTAAGCAGCTGATGAGAAACCACGAAATACAATGAATTCATATTATTCTACATACATGTTCGTTCTGGCTTTATTTAATATTCTTCCTTTGTTCCTTTTTTCTATTTAAACTTGAATTAATTTTGATTTGGTTACTTATTCTCTGCAGTAGTGGCTTACATCGAGCTACGAAATGTCAGAAAATCTAATTTTTCTACTCCTTGAGATATTACAAAAACATTATTTCTATTTATAAAAACATTGACATATTCGAAACTATGTTATGCAATCTATAAGTTAAAATCATAATTGTGGTATTTTCTTATCAAAAATAGATTGCTAACAAACATTTCCTTATTTAGGAAGATTTTTATTTTTGTATATTAATAGCATGTGTAGTTGAAAATAAAGGTACAACGTTTTTTGCAGTTATCCACACATAAATAAAATTCGTTTACTTCTGTCGATAAAGTTATTGCTCCCTAGTTTTACTAGCGATTAACTTTTATTTATATCATTTAGTATTATGACAATAATGTAACTTTTTAATAAGCAAAGATGGATAATGCCTAGCAGTGGAATCCAGGACGCACGTTTCGTCCTGTTTGGGACTCGTCAGCTGGATGTACCTGCATCTCAGAGTTGGTGATTACTGCAGGACTTAAATCCAGTACCGTTCGCTTTAGACACCATCACGTTATCCACTTAGCTACTGAGTCCAGATAGCCACCTGCTTCACTAAGTTTACTAAGTGTATCACACACTTATCAAGGTGTTTGGAAATTTAATGTAAAAAAAAAATTAGATGTTTTATTCAAGGATTGCTATTCGAACGTCTACGCACATAAACAATAGATAGAAAATATGAAAATGAAAATGATGAAAAATCAATCCTTTAAAATCATATTATACTTTACTTTCACTTACATTAGATTATAACTTATTTTATTGGTAAATGTATGTAAAAAAAGCTGAAAACTTTCAAGTTATGGGTCCAACAGGTAATAATAACTCTCACTTGATCACCATCTTTCCTCCTTCTCGTTAACTACAAAATAGAAATTAACTCTCGTATTACTACTCAAAATTCATGTTTAGCTAAGTTATTAGAATTAATGTTATAAATATGAACTGCTTGATTAAATTATTTAACATAACCATGAAAATGAACCGTCCAAAATACTAAAAAATTGAACAGCATAACTTTATCTGATCCATGTATGAAGTATATCTGACTATCTGGTAATACTTGTTCATACTTAATGAATATCTAATAAATAAATAAAAAGCAAAATATACTTTTTTAAAGTCAAAACTTCAACATCACAAGATCACACCATTACTTACTTGCGCCTGTTACTCCTAATGGAGCATAAACCGCCGACCAGCATTCTCCAACCCAGTCTGTCCTAAGCCTTCCTTTCCAGTTCTGTCCAATGTTTGTTCATTTTTCTCATGTCTATCTCCATTTCTCGACATAATGTGTTCTTTGGTCTTCTTCTTCGCCCTTGACTTCGAGGATTCTAAATAAGGGCTTGCCTTATGACGCAGTTGGTTGCTTTTTTCATAACATTGTTATTAGCATATTTCTACACTTTTAAATCTGTTAGGAAAATGTAAACTTCAAAGAATTGAGTTTGTATTTTCTTGATTGATTAAAAAAACCCAAAATAATGATTTATTTAAGATTAGAGGGGAATAGTTTTTTTCGTTTTTTACAAAATAATGGCATTTTTCTGCAAATGTATCAATTATTTTTATATAAATATATCAATAGTCAAGTTTTTATGTAGACTGTCATGTTTCTTTATATATTAAATTGTTTATTCAAACAAATTTCAAACTTGTCTACTGTTTGATTAAGGTTAACCAAGAAGAAATTTCAAGTTGGATATCCGCCTACAAACACTAAGTGTTATATTTTTTTTCCTTTTTTCTCTTTTATTAGAACCTCTTGTGAATTATTAATTAGTTTTTTAACTTATAAGGCAGATACATTTATTATTTCAACGTAGTAGTCCCCTTTCATACCTTAACTTTAAGAGATAAGTATAATATAATATTATAAATATTATAAAATTACACATAAAACATGAAAACAATATAAGCATTGAGTTTCTGAGGTGACCTCAATGAAGATCAAATAATTGACGTTTAGTCTCATAATGAACGAACGTCAGAATGTGAAACAATAAGACAGCATAATTATATTTTCACCAGTAAAATTAAACTTAAAAATGTTAAACAAATTAAAAGTGGTTTTAATTTACAAACAGTTTACGATATCCAGAAGAATACTGGATACATTTACTGGCCATTAGGAAACGGACCCTTACAAAAAACTCAAAATCTTCTCTTAGAACTAAAACTGAAGCATAAAAATTTATAACATCGACTTCATTCACAGATTAAAAATAATGTGATTCCATAAAACTAAAGAATTCTATCATTATCACAGTGAAAACATGTGAAATGATCCAATGAATGAATACAAACAACCATAATAAAGCCGCAACTGAAATTTCTAAACTTAGAATCCGTACAGATTTATGATAACGAGATATACTTTACTTATTAGAAGCGCTACTAAACTTTTCAGTAAGCAAACTGTAGGAATAGTTTAAATTCATTTGCTAAATTACTGATGAAATGACACAACTATGAATGAAATAAACAGAAAGCAACATTTTTAAAAAAATGAAACCTAGCAACTATTTTTTACACAACCGACCAAATCTTTCCCTACTCAGTAGTCATTAAAATAAATAAATAAGTTTAAATTTTAATATAGATGAATGAAAATTACAGTGGTATAACAGATCCCTACACTTTTTCGACCTTTGATAACTACAGTTTATATGTTTCATATATAACAGAATATTAACTGGTCACTGATTACGTATATATACATGATAGTATAAGAAATTCCTTTTGAGCTTGTAAAAGCCAATCACAAACTATGTAATCATTATAAACTGACAGATCGCTTTTAGAATCATACTAAAAAGTAAATTTAGATTTAGGATAAAGTTTTATTATGTTGCCCAGAACAACAAAAAAACTTTTACCAAATAAATGATCCATTGCTTAAACTTCCCAGTTAGCAAAAATAAATGATAGATATGATATAAAACTATACAGAATACTAAGGGATAAAACTAATCAACGTTCTGTTTTTACTTAAAATTGAAAATTGAATGCATATCAAGTTGAGTGGTATTGTGTAGTTTTTGGGAGTAGATCTATTCATGAACTGATATCAGCTGGGGGACCTCTGAAAACTAAGGAATACCAAACAGTTGTTTAGTTTTAGTTTGAGGCTTTTCAGCAGTGCACAGTTACTATCGAACTCATAAGCCTAAGGTTTCATATACTTCTGAAATGAACGAAGAAATAATAAATATAAAAGTTAGTTCTTCAACTTGTAAATCCAGTTTAATATATTAATAAACAGTACACTACCTCTTAAATGTCAATCATTGGATCGTATTCTTTGATTGGATAAAAAAAAATCAATATGTGATATAATTTGCGTCGTGAACAGAGATTAGTTAGGCAACAAATGAAGACCAGGAAGCATTTTACACATATTTGGTCCACGTTTAGGTTTCTTTATTGGATTTAAGGCAAATATCTACATTTTACGTAATATTGTGAACTAAGTAAAATTGGCAATAAAAACCACTGGATCCCAGCTCATTGGTTTAGAGGTCTTTGACGGGTTCATGAGTACCCATTGCTGAAAAATCTCATACTAGAATGAAACGTATGTTCAAAGCATCCTAGTTTTTAATGACTGGCTAACTAAACTTTGATCATTATGAATGATTTTTTCTGTTAAATACCTAATATATATAGTTTATTTCTCGTCACCATAATTACACATAAGTTGAACTAATAATTTATTTCAGCATGTCATTACATCTAACAAACATAATATAACTTGATACGTTCGTGTAAATCTTAATTTAAATATCGTTAATCTTCATGTAAATATCGTACAATGTGAATTAGCAAATGAAGATTAATCGGATTCTATGTAATGAAAAAAACTACAGTTGTTCAAATTATGCACACCAAATAGAAACATATTGATTTTTTGTCATTAACCAGACAAACAAGAACACTGAAGAAGAAAAGAAAGAGAATTTCCTTTAATAAGAATCTCTAGAGATATAACAGTTAACCAAATTTATACCAATCTAACTTATAATGTATTTTAATGCAGAACAATAAATCAAATCATTCTTGTAAATATCATAGAAATAATTAGTCTGGCTTGCAAAAACAAAAACTTCAATGAATAACCATTGTAATGAAAATACAGAAAGAAATTACTTAAGTTCATAAAATATGCTATTAGGTTTTACGTAAAATCTTGAGTTATACTACAGTTTATATGGAGATTGCAATGTAAGCTAATTGTTTAGTCATTATAAGCAAAGATGGATAGTGACTAGCAGTGGAATCCAGGACACGTGTTTCGTCCTACTTGGAACTCGTCAGCTGGATGTACCTGCAATATCAAGGCAATACACACTGATCAATTTGCAGTGAATTTAAATATTTAATCCATGTGAATTCAGTAGCGTGAAAATCATCTTTATAATTTTTAAGATTTTCTAGCTTATGATGCCTAAAAATTTCAAGGCATAGTCACCATAGCATTTATAGTGTTTTTTTCTCCATACTTTTCAATGTATTTTTTTTTGAATATATAGGAAAATTATCTGTCAAATGATGTGATTACTGTTCCAGCTATTACACTACAATTAGCTAATGATGAAAAAGACTGGGAGGATAGTGAAACTAAACTGAATATTATTAAAGATGTGGAAAGTTTGAAACCGCCTAAATTTATATTTGATAATAAAGGAAGAAGTTGTAGTTTAACAACATATGATGAAGAATCTGGCCTGTTAATTCCTCATGCAAACGATCGATCAAATTCTGAAATAGCAATTACTAAAACATTATCATCAATAACAAAGCCAACAGTAACGGGAACAAATCAGATTGGATGGCAATTTAGATCGCCAACTCTTGGTACAAAATATTTATCTCATTATCCAAGGCGTTTGCAATCCACGGATAAGATTGTAACAAAACGAAGATTTTTTCTACTAAAATCATCTAAATCATCCGGTTGTTCAAGTAATTTAGACTTGACACAAAAGTCAAAAGAGAATAAGTCACCACCTAATTATAAACCCATAGAACAGCTAAATGAAACTATGAGTCATAAAACATTTACTTGTAATTCGAAATCATTTAGTCCTAAACAAAATCGTCGTCATACTATGCCAACAGTTGAAGCTCGAAATTCGGTATCAAAAGCAACAAGTTCTAGTGTGATGAATGCATACCGAAGATCTGATCGTCATACAGATGATACATGGATATTTTCAAATCATTCAAGTGGAACACAGTCAAATGACGAATTATGTTTATCAAGCATTACATCACCACAGTGTTTATCATATAATTATGAAAAAATTCCTTTATTATCCGGTCAGTGTCTTTCAATTCCAAATGTAAATTTTACAGAAAATACACAACCACAAATGGTATCTAGTAAGCCTATATGCGTATCTATGCAACTGACACAATTCAACTCACTTAATTGTGATATTAATACAATTTCAACATCAAATTTGTAAGTTGATTGGTAATTTACTTCGTTTATTTGTACGATGTTTAGTAAGAATATTGGATTTAGAGTTAATCTACGTCACAAGTGGGTAATTAATGAAAATCAGAGATCATTGAGCAACCATCTTGTCATGAATTAAGACCTCATCAGTGTGTTTCTATAGCTCTATGCTAGAATAAATGAACAGCATAAAAATGCTTTTTGAAGATAACAAAGTCTTGGGTGGTTACTATTTTAAACACTCATATATGTCATTAAAATTTAGACGCCATTAGTTGACAGTATAAAAAATTACAAGACTGTTCCGATATCATTGATTTATGGTATGGAATTTAACATAAGAAATGTATTTAAATGAATGAATTCTTAAAATTCCAGCTGTTCGAATGACTTTTTAATTGATCATGATTAGCTATCATCGTTACTGCTTTAAACCCTAATAAAATCAAAATTTCACCGTTTTTTCAGCAATCATCCTAAATAGTATGTTTAATACCAATCATAGAAGATACTTAATTTATCTGGTATGTGGTTATCATTAAATACAACTAAATATTTCAAGATGGTGAAAAACATCGGTTTAGTCTATCTTACCTGAAATAATCTTCAAAGTGATCTCAGTTTAAAATAGAAGTTACTGAAATTTAACATTACCTGTATATCATACATTTAATTCGAATTCTTTTTATATATATATTTTTAATTTCATTACATTTAGATGTTTATATACACCAAATACTTCTCCAGTCAATTCAATTTGGTCATGTACAAATGATTACAATCATAATCGATGTACATTATCAAATCGTGTATATCATATACAAGGCAGCAATTTGCATGAAATTAATTTAACCAGTGAATTACGTCATTTAAATAATCGTTTAGACTGTATAGAATTACAATTTACAAAATTATTTAAATTAATAGAATCTAAACAATTTTTATAAATCACAAAAAAAAAACAACGAAAAAAAACAAAATTCCAATTTCATCAGTTTTATTTATATTTTCATCTTTATTATTATTTTTTGTTTGATTGATTGTTTGTTTCTAGATTTTGTCTATATTTCATTATCTATAACAATAACCTTGAAAAAGAAAATGAAAAAAAAGTGATTATTTACTTAGCATAATATGAACTAGAGAAAGAAAAATAGATTCATTATTAAACAAATATAATTCAGGTTAATACAAATAAATAGTCTTATTAGATTTTCAATAGTTTATTATGTAATAATATGACTACATATCAATGTAATCTAAAGTGAATTCAAATATAAATTGTATAAAATCAGGGAAATTATTTTAATGACTTTATTGATTAATTTACATCTTAATGTGTTATATGAATTGAATTGGTTCGTGTTTTTTTTTCTGGGGGGGGGGTTGTTTTAATGATTCAAATAATCAGTATATTTCATTGATAAATAATAAATAAAGAAATATACATATAAACAACATTATACTGTATTATGTTGGATATTAGAATAAAACTTCATATTAATCATTTATGATGTAATTGTATATACATTTTTAGTTAATAAGTGATTTCATAATATTTGCATGATTTAAAATCATTACCATGAATGAATACATATTTTTCTTCTCTTTTTTTTCTTTACAAATATCTCTGAAACATCACAAATGATACACATTTTTATGTTAATTTATAATTAATAGTCATGTACACCTAGTTTTCCATTGTCAATAAAATAGATTAAAATTTTAGTGTATTTTTTAAATTTCAGTTGACAAAAAGATCCTTTTTCCTAAAAGTAATACAATAATAATAATCTTAAGACAACTGATGCTTCTCGACGGATTCGACCTGATACACATGATATTGATCAACATTCAATGATCAATCAGTTGTCACTACACCTCAGTCGCGGCCTAAACAACCCAGTGGTAACATCTCTGACTGTAAAGCTGAATGGCATGGATTAACTCTTCAAAACTTTGTAAACACAAAATTTAAAATGCATTCAGATATCGTGTTTAAAAGACTAAGTAACATATTGAATATTCAACGGTTTATAAATATGTGATATGTCAAAAGTAATTCGAACAAGAAATCGTTTACTTGAGCCAATATTCAAACAATGTTGTGTTGATATTTTGAATCATCTTAGCAATATATCGCTTAGCCTGACACGAACTCATAACTGTTTTAATTTAAAAAAGCTTGTTGAAATGTATATACTGTGATACTTCAACTAAGAAACAAGTTAAACATAGTGTACTTTAATATAATAATGAAATGTGTAGTTCTAAGCACAACAAAAGACGTGTAATTTGCTTGGTTGCCCTTTACTTTTAATCAAAAATCTCAGCTTAATCTTGAAATCGATCTGGTTGATTAATATAGTTAGTTTGTGTAACTATCAACATGGGGTTTTGTTTAGCGATTTCTGCTGTATTTTTCAATCATTTTTTGTTGAAATAATTTCAAGATTACAAACACACCTTGTTGACGAGTGTTAAATAGCACAAAACCCGGATTCAGGGTTCTTTTCTAACTATCTCCAACCACCATCTTATAACTGTAAAACTAATTCTGAATAAATGTTTTCTCTCTCTCCCTCTCTCTCTCAAATATTCATCAGTATAATAATCTCTAGGTAAATGTTATAATTATACACCGTTTTTTTTCCGAAAATTTTTTTTAAGTTTTAATGTTTGAATTGTACTATCAATTATTATTCATGATTTCATAATGAAATGTTCAAATTCTTTTGATGTATAGCTGTTGAATAATGAAATTACAACAAAATAATTGAAAAAGAAATAGAAAAAAGCATTTGAAAATAATTTCTACAAATTGTAAATCAAACAATGACATGATGAATGTTGTACCGACTAATGAAGGGAAGTTGTTTTACTTATTCATATAGAAAAGAAATAATTCAATGTTTATTGTTTATATATATTTATAGATTAAATTATACTATTTTATCTCTAATGTCTACTATACAATTAATATAAATGAGTATAAAAAAAAGCATTGAACATTAATAATTTATAGTATTATTTATATTATTGTTACTAGGCTTATCCTTTTATCAAACAATCTTTACAATAAAGCGATAATAATAATGTTTAGAGTAAATATTTGTTGATTAATTGATGTTCTACAAAGTAATACAATTTTAAAATCTATACAATCTGATACTAAAAGTACTTAATCTTTCGCTTAGAAATAACAATTTTCTTCTGAATAGAATAATCAAAATAATTATTTTTTATAGTTAGGATATACATTTTAATAATCATTGTAAAATTATTGCTTTAGTGTGTTTTTATCTTTTTTGCATGGCTATTAAAAAAAACGTACGCGTTAGTACATATTTCGCATGAAATTTACATGAATAAATCGGGTACATTTCACACCTTAGTATGTAAAATACTGAGTATTAATTAATACAAAGTTGGCTACAAGCCAACCAAAATCGTCAGTATGTAATACTATGAAAGAAGGAAGTGGGAAAATAATTACTAGGCCCTGGCGAGATTCAAATGAATATAGGATGAAATTAAATGGTAGGATGAAATAAAAATTATGTATAATGGATATGTTGGACAAAATCAAATACACATTGCAGTATACTAATATATATTCTGAGAAATTTCACTATCAAAGCTACATATTTATTACAATATTTTCATCAGCATATATTGGTCATTTGAACCATATTTTATGTTATCCTACATCTTAATGAAATATAAAGAAAAATGACAAGATATGCAGTAGTTTTGAATTTTCAATTCACATGTAAATAATTAATACTAACTTGTGCGGAGCATGAAAATATCTAAGAATAAGAGGACAATTCATTAAACTTGATATTCAGTACTCAAGAAATGGTCAACTCCGCATTAATAAGCCTCGAAGACATTACTTCAATCTGATCTGATGCATACACAACAAAATGTAGGAATTTAAAACATTTAAGCCCATTTTTATAACGATGGCAAAACGGACATGTACTTATATACTTGATTTCGATAGAACAATGAGAAGACGAAGTTGATATGAAAAATGTGGTGTATTTGCGCTATATATTTCGAACAATCTGGTCACACATATACTTGTCAGGGCATTTTTAATATGAAAATAAATAAAGATCAATTAAATCAAAGCTTGTTACCCCTTGTGGAGGAGCACCATGATTCTCCTTCCGACACTGTACTCCTCTCTCCTTACCAGTTGTAACCATGTGATATTCATTCTTTAGATGTTTATCTCCAATTCACAACGCATTAAGTTTTTGATCTACCACGTTCCTCATTGCCTTCAGGATTCCAAACTGACACTTGCCTTGTGATGCACTTCGGTGATTTCTCCAATGTATGTCTTATCCACTTCCACTTCATTTTCTCCTCAGCTGAAGGTTGGTTTGTCTTCCCTTGCAGTAGATCATTCCTTATTGCATCGGGTCAACATGTGGTGCGCGCTACCTATATTGATATAATAAGTACTATATGACGCGAATTAAAAACGTAATGTCTGTCAGCAGAAGATGGAGGAAGATCAAGAAAGGAAGAGCGGAAACACAATGAAATTTGTATAAAAACGCATGAACAATGAAATGTTAGACAATGGATTGATGTTTGCAACAGGAACAGTCCAGTTTGACATGATGGATTGATATTTTGCAAATAAACGACTTACTATATGGTTTTTCTATTTTACCAATTAACTCTGTAATGTTGAGCCAAACATATTCGGTTGTCCTCATCAGTATTCTCCTTCACTACAAACAGGCATCGAGTATCTTACGTAGACAGCCTCTCATAAAACTGATCTTTATCGTCGTTGCTATCATTGATGGGTGCATCACATTGGGTCAGTTTCATTGTGATTCCCTCCTTCTTTATTTTGAAGGATGCTTTGATGTTAATGTATCTATGACATTTCCACCCAAATTGTGCGCTTTGTGATACTTTGGGCAGCATGAGAGAAACCCGCTAAGTGTATGGAGCATTTTCTTCTTCATGACCACAGTACAGAAGCATCTCTCTTGAATCTGTCCTTTTCTGTCTAGCTTAAGTCCTATGATTCCAAAAACCGTCAAGTTGTCTCTCCTTATTTCTGCGACTACTTGACTGGTTCATCCGGTTTCCCACATTGTTCAAACATTCTATGTACCTCTGTTAGTTATTGATCTTAGCAGCTTTTAAAGGGATAAATTACAAGTTGCCATTAAATTTTTAATTACCATTTGCATCGATCAATATTATTCCATTGTGATGAAATTTCTGTTGTTCAGTCATCCGATTCTTGTAACTCAACAATCATATTTACTCAGGATCATAAATTTAAGGGCTTAGATATTCAGATCATCACTAATCATCGGATTAAATGGTTTAAACAAACGTTTCATCGATAGCATATTGGTCTATTTCATGCGCGAATATTCAGTTCAACAAATGAAAACTTTGAGATTTTACAATTTTCATTAGTGATTTGAAAATGATACTCAATAAAAGTAAAACTTGCACCAGTAACAGTGTACGATAACCCTATAAGCATTTATGAACAGGTTCGTGACAAAATGTGTAAACCTAGACTTAAAAACAATCAAATTTAGGACGAGATGCTTGTTCCCATGTTTTTATTTGAGTGGACAATGGTTAATTGAACAGTGAGTTGAACATTTGATATTATCTCAAAAAAGCTGAGTTCAAAGTGATTCCAACTTCTAGTCTACATATCTGCCATCAAATACGCCACCGTTGAGTCATTTACATTGCCATCTAGACAATTGCTATTGTACCTGAATTCTCTCTCCTTCAAACATATTACTATTATTAAACTATCGCTTTGTCCATTAACATTAGACGAGGAACTGTCAACATAATATATATCTCATAATTAGTAACCGTATAAATTAATCCATTCCAAAAAAGGTACAGTTATATCTATTAATTAACTATATACTCAAAC